AATAATAAAGTAAAACGCTCTAAGCATTTCGACAAGAATCAAGGAATAACGCGGGTAATCCTTGTTAAAATGAGCGTACGGCATTAACCCAGAAGCGGGGTGGCTATTTGCATATGTCCCAGCATGCCACACTCTCGTAATGTGAACAGCCTAGACAATAAGTTTTAGGGTTGAATTCATGTGTTTTAACATTAGGTGGCGTCGAAGAGCCAAGCGCTGTCTGGCCTATTTACATATGTCCCAGCATGCAGCACTGTCGTAATGTGAACAGCCTAGACAATAAGTTGTAGGCCTGAATTCATGTGTTTTAACATAAGGTGGCGTCAAAGAGCCAAGCGCTGTCTGGCCTATTTGCATATGTCCCAGCATGCCGCACTGTCAAACTGAAAATAGTCCCTGTCTACTAACGTTTTAAACTTGAAATAATTCTCTTTAGCATAAATGTACTGTTTTAATACACTGTTTGATATAATGTATGTGAATAGACTAGACAATAAGTTTTAGGGCTGAACTCATGTGTTTTAACAAAATGTGGCACCGACGATCCAAGCGCTGTTAGTCACTGTCTACTAACGTTTTAAACTAGAAATAATTCTCTTTAACATAAATGTACTGTTTTAATACACTGTTTGATATAATGTATGTGAATAGACTAGACAATAAGTTTTAGGACTTAACTCATGTGTTTTAGCAAAATGTGGCTCCGAAGATCCAAGCGCTGTCTGGCCTATTTGCAAATGTACCAGCATGCACGAGAAACATTGTGTAAAAACTTTTGCTTCAAGATTCGATATGGAAGTTAACCCGACAAAGCTTTGAGGATTTCATAAAACAAGACACCGCAAGAATTGCGTTTGATCCAGCGATGGGCCCCTCTGCCTAACCCAACATGGACGCCTCGCAAGCGAGACAGCGGAAGCAGTGTACTATGGGTAACCGATCCGCTGCATCTTGAATCTATCAGGAAAAAATTTGATACGTTTTTGAACAAACTGCTGGCAATTTTTCTAACAGTGATGACATGGGCACAGTGCGAGCTGGCGAGACAGGGTAAGCATAAGACTCGGGGTAACATTCTCACAACATGATTATGGCAGAGTGTACAGGCCTCGTCCCACTGTCTTGGTCTGTCGGTCGGTCGGTGCATGGGTGGTCGCCCGGAGAAACACTGTTGTATTTAATTGCTGTAGAAGCTAGTGAACGGCATGTATCAACATACATCAAAAGCATTTTAAAAACTTTGGTATAATTCTTATTTTAAGATAAGTATAAAATGTGTTATAAAGCATTTGACCAATGATAATTAATAAAGAATTCAAGCATATTATCCCACACACGCACGGACTATAGCAACAGAAGTGTGTTTTTCTTATAGCCCGGGTCACCAACGGCCAAGAACCACCCACGCACCGACCGACCCTGCTCTTACACAGTGGAGGAGTGGCAACCATGTATGGCTAGGTTTGGTGTTACTGTGTTACTATGTTTCCCAGTTGGTATCCCCCCCACACACACATGTTGTTCCTGTTCTGCTGCATATAAACGAGTAAGGAGCCAAATGCCTTTAACCATTCTCAGATGGATATGTGGATTTTTGTCCAAGCACTTGATTGGTTAATCAACATAATTAATGGGAAAGCACCCAATTAGCAAGCACCTGAAGATCCATGATATTTGCCATTTAGTCAAACAAATGCTGTAACCTTTTTTCACACTTTACATTAAATACCTTGCAGCATATTCAAAATGCAGCAGCTTGAATTGTCACCAGGAGCAGGAAGTTTGAACACACAACCCCTGTTCTTAGTTCCCCGCATTGGCTTCCTGTTAGGTTTAGAGCTGACTTCGAAGTTCTCCTACTTACATATAAGGCACTTAATGGCCTAGCTCATGCCTACCGGACAGAATTACTTCAAGTTTACAAGCTGCATCGTCCACTCAGATCACAGAATCCAGGTTTCCTTGTTGTCCCCCATATAAATAAAGTGAGAGTTTGCGGTAAAGCATTCTCGACTGAAGACTATTACTTAAGTTTAGCTTACCTGCAACCTAACAAACCATAACTATGGCTGCTGGTGCTGCTGTACATGTCATTTTGATGTTTTGATGTTTAATGTTAGTTTGTCCAGGGGGGTTGTGCATCCACTTGACCTTGGAGCCCCAGAGGTTTTTTTTCTCCTTACTTGAGAGTTTTTGGTTTCTCTCCTACCAATGTCAACTGACTTTCTTTACTTAATTTCTGTCCTTCCTTTTTTTGAGTTTCAAAAAAGAAATGGCCTCACAATGTCAAAATAACAGGTTTCTATCACATTGTGGGGACCAAATGTCCCCACAATGTAATGTGTACATGACCGCACGCACGCACACACACACATTTAGAATATTTTATTTCTCAGGTGTCACTACTGGAAAAAAAGTCTTTCAAAAAGTCTCCTTCTGAGATCCTACCTGGTGTTCTAGTGGCACAAGGTACAGCAGAACCCAAGCAAGTTTTGCCAGGTTCACCAACAGATTTTCCCCAAGGCTGTCAAGATACTAATCAGCCTGCTGTCCATCTGACCCCATTCCCATTCCTGAGAACACCTACACCCCCACCCTGAGTGACACTATAGTCACTTCAAATTATTTATAAATTTTCTATTTATTGTCAGTCAACAGACACTACATTTATTCCACCCTTATACTGCCATGTTATTTATTATTGTTTATATACACTGCAATATACATATAAACCTTTGTGTCCAGCCCCCGTTTCATTCTGCTCTGTCTTTTGCATTTTAAATATCGCTAAAAACCCTCCCCTTGTCACTTGATGGTTGTATGTAGCACCACGGTCCTGGGGGAACATTATTTCATGCCACTGTATAAGTGTATATGGATGGTATTGGGACAATAAAGCCCACCTGACTGGACCCACAAGCCCATCAGCTTCATCCTCTGCATCACATGTACACTCTGCCAGTAGATGCCACTGTTCCCCTGAAATACGGTGACAAGTCTCCCCAAATTAGGCCTGGAGCTTACTGAACTTAGTTTAACAAGCAATACTCTACTTGTGGGCTGTGGGCCAATGGCTTAAAACAACTCAATGAATCGTTATTGACCGCTGTTGCCCAGTAGTAACAAACCAAAATTAAATGTGGTAGGCACAGAAAAACTAGCAACAGGGCTTCAGGCTCATTGCTTTAGGGAAGACAAGAGCAGCTTGCTGACATCAGTGAATATGAGGACTTAATAAAGCAATTCGTGTTCCCTGTTTGGCAGTGAATATTGCGCAGTCATGGTTACACTAGGGTGGAGAGAGCCCTGCTGGAAACAAGACCATCAAGTTTAGATTAGACAGACTAATCTAGATTAGTCAGAGCTATGCAATTATACACCTCGTTTAATTATCGCATAAAACAATAGACAGATTCACCTTTTAACCCTCAGGATGAAGCTCGCTATTGATTGGTGCTGCATGGCATCAGCATGGTTTACTGTGTTACCTGTTTGTGCAAACTGAAACAGATTTTTGTGAGGTCTAATGTAACACAGTGTAGCACTTGGGGGACAGCTTTAGGTTTATTTCACATATCATGGGAACAGGAAGCCCCTGAAAGCCTTCAGGTACTTTACAATCCTCTTGCTCTCTGTCAGTTTGTAATCCACCCATGTTACAAGCTGGAATGACTACTGGCCTTTCTTCTATGTCAAACAATGTGTAAAGCTGGCAGCATGTAGGCAGACAGAGATGGGTCATTGCAGCCTCTGGTGGGGGGGGGGGTACCTGAATCCTTCATCTAGAATGCTGGTTTTGGTTGCTGAGGAAAGATATATGTTGGTCTAGGTCCCTGCCACCCCATGCTGGAAACAGAAAATTGTCAAGAGCGTGGTGTTGACAACAGCTGCCCTGCGAAAGAGAACTACCCTCCACTTTTGTGGACACCACTCAGCTCAAATCTTATCAGTGAAGCTGACTGATTTTTTTGAAAATTGAACTGCCCAGAGTTGCTCTTCACAACAAACAGGGACACACAGAATATGTATACTCTTGGTATTAAATATTGCTTAGAGATCTTGAATTAAAAAAGAAAAAACTTTTTTTATTGTTGCTGTCCACAGAGATAACTTTTTAGTATCCCCTCAAATCATTTTTCAGAGTGTAGGCCTATGTGTGCACATTGTCTGTCTACCTGTATTTGCAGCTCGAAGTGCATATCTGGTATTCTTACAAAAGTGAGAACCTCTGGGACCTGGATTCAAGTCTCTGCCAGAGTTCCATGTGTGTGGAGTTTGTTTGTGCCATTGTATGGAAAAAATAATTGCTATTTTGATAAAAGCAGCACAAATCTTAATTTTTCAATGTAGCACTAACCAAACACTGGATTTTTATTTGTTCTCATTGTAGTGGAGTCAGCTTCACAGAGCTTATTGTTTTAGCTTTCTTCCAGTGGTGGTGTAGCTAATAACTGAACCTCATATTTGTGGATTTTTTTCAACCGATCAGTTGCTGTACGAATTGGACAAAAATATGCAATATAATTAGGAAAGTCACAAATGTTGCATGATCCACAAATGTGCAAAAACCCGTTTCAGATGTATAAATCATTGCGTATTTTTGTGGATGAGTTTACACAATACAAATAAAACATACATATTTAGAGATAGTTAAATGTTTGTGGATCACTGTACATATTTGTGGTTTGTCTTCTGTGTTACAAATAATAGTCCAATAAAAACAGACCAAATACCGCAGACCTAATCCTCCTCTTTCAACCCTATCCGATGCTTCCCATAATGTTAGCTATACTCGATCTTATCTGAGACTGCATGTTATCTGAGACTCCACAGTATGAATACTCCCACCATGCTTTCACAGGCCGCAGACAATTCCATGCAAACCTATTTTCCGTATTGGAATCCTTCAAATCATCTATCTTTCAATTCATCCTTCAATAAATCTTACAATATATCATTCATTAAATGTGTCAATAAATGATGAAATATAAATTGAAATGTTTTGCAATAAAAAGATTGAATGATTTATTGACATATTTAATTACTGATGTATTTATTGGACAACAGACTGATACACAATTAAAGACAGATTGACATATAATTAGAGATATGTCACAAAAAAATCCTCCACAGTTCGTTTCAGTTTCCTCCTTCTTTAATGTGGCACCAGCAGAGCAACGCATACCAAAGAGGGACATCTGGACAATTAACCTTTGATAACCCCTTCTTCAGCATTAATAGTGCTAAAGAGTCCATTCTCTCTAAACAGTGCCACAGTCATGGGGAGAAGAATTCTGTGAAATAGCAAGGGATATAAAGATTACAATGTACAAGTCACAGTTCTCTGCAGATCTCTCACCTTCTGCTGCCAGTTCAGGCTGAAGGCTGATAAATACAAGAAGAAAATGCACACCACAACTGCACCAAACTGAGGCAGCCCTAAACCTCTTTAAAATGATTGGGATATCGCTTCAGTAATGTGTTGGCTTGCTTAGGGTACAAGACTCCGTGCTGGCCAACAGCCCCATCTGCTTTTGCTTTTCTTGCAGCCTGTGGGGAACAGAATAAACCACCATACCCATAAATAAACTGACAAAACAGCATTTATACACAAATTATTTTGGAAAGAAACCTGTTTTAACTATAGCAGGGGTAGGGAACCTAATCCACGGAGAGCCGGTGTGAATCAATAACAGTGAGTCCCTAGGACTGGAGTTGAGAACTACTGCTTTATTACTGACTGACAGAGGTCATCCCAAAAACTCACACCCACGCTGGCTCTCTATGGATCAGGTTCCCTAACCCTAACCCTAGAGATGGTCCCGATCCGATCCATTATCGGTATTGGATCCAATACTGATGTCATTCACGCATCGAATATTGCACGGATAGGGCCAATCCACTTACTGATCCAGATTCCAGTCCACAACTTGAGCTGGACCATGAACCTGCCTTAATGTAACAATATAACATGAGACACGTCATGATCCAGATTCCATTCCACATCTTACCACAAACCCGTGGCAACTTCAATCTGTAACTGCATGAGCAAATAATGTTAGCTGTTGGTTTCAATAAAATATTGTTTGTTTGGAGATATTTTAGTTTAGAAATGCCGAAAAGCAACACAGCTACTTGTGTGTAAAGCTAGCATGCCAAGGAAGGGGTGGGCGTACAGTTGGGTTGGATAATACCACCAGTTTAATCAAGCACTTTCAGAGGTTTCATGTAAAAAAGTACCAGGAGTTCATGCTAGCCAGCAGAGGAGACAACACCACCAGACAGCAGACTCTTGCTGAAGCTTTCCAGAAACGTGAAAAAATTGTCATCACAGTTAGTGGCACAGTTAGAAAATGTTAACGGCATGAGTTTCACGATACCTGGACCTCAGATATGAGCCCAATATTTCTCCTAAGTCTCACTGTACACTGGGTGAACTCGGAAAAATATGCACTACTGAGTGTGGTGCTTCAGGTGAAGAAGTGCAGGGGATCACACACCAGCAGTTCAATTGCAGTCTTCATTACAGATATGCTTAATGACTGGAAGATCCCACTGGCTAAAGTGCATGTGACAATGCAAATTAACATGAAGAAGGCTATGGAAGAAATGGCAGCTCCTAGATTGGGTTGTTTTGCTCACACACTGTAGCTTGTTGTGCATTAGGGGCTTATTTCACAACGCAGTGCTAACGATGCAAATGCAAGAAAGATTGTGGGACATTTTAAACATTCTCGTAGAGTCTCACTTGAAAGACATTCAAACTGAACTGAAAGTGCCCACATATCGTCTACATCAAGACATTCAGACAAGGTGGAACATTTCCTTCTATATGATTCAAAGTCTACTTGAACAGAAGCGAGCCCCTCTGTGCCTATGCTGCTGATCACAGCCTGCCTATAATGCTGTCAGCTAACGAATGGTCATTATTGGAAAAATCTGTGACAGTGCTGTAGCTTTGAGGAGTTAACCCAGAACATCAGCTCAGAGACCTCCACTACAGTCAATGTAATCCCAGCCATCACCGTCTTAGACAGACAATTCAACAGCATCGAAGGCAATCCCCTCTACTCTGTTGTCACTTTACTGGACCCTCAATACAAAGACAGGTGAGACAGATTTTTTTATTAATAAAATAAAAATAAATTATTAATGCCCAAATGTTAGCTATGTTTTAAATGCAGAAGCGTCAGAAGCATTTTGAATGTGTGTGTGGGGGTGGGGGGCACACAGGCATAAAACTAATATTTTATGTTAAATGTGGGGGGGGGGGGGTTGGGCGTCCCAAACAAATAATTATGAAATGTGATCAGATTTAATGGTGGTGACGCCCATGTTTAAATGGTAAATGTGATCTTGCAGAACCAAACCTACATGCTTATTTCTAGTCAAAAAGATGGAGATTTGTAAATGTGCAATGAGAAGTGTGCATTCTGGTCTCCGACTATCTAGTGGTTGTACGTATCCATAATTTCTCATATTCAATATTTTTTTATTAATGTTTTATTGCATTGATGGTTTATTTTAATGTACAGCGCATAGAGAACTACACTTACATCAAGGGGTTATCAGTAAAATTTCTCAGAGATTGGGTTTACTTTTTAATTTATCTATTTTTGTTGGAACATGTTAATTTTAACACAAATTTACTGGTGCTGGAATGTGTTGTACTCAACCTGTTTTGTTTTTGTGTCAGATACTTCACAGGTGAAGACATTGCCAAGCATGCCAAGGCTGCCCTGACACGAGAGATGGAAAAGATGGAGGAAACACTGCACAGGGCTTCAACCAAAGAATCAGCATCATTGGCAACAGAGTCAGCAGAAAAGGTGCCTCGCATGGAAGCAGCTGGTCCAAGCAGAAGCCAGAACAGCTTGACAAGTCTGTATGACAACATTCTGGAGGAGCATGAAGAACCTGTATCAGGGAGTACCAAGAATGCTGTTATCAAAATGGAAACTTATTGATAAGAATTCTTTTTAGTGACAGCGCTTTCCAATACTGGGGGAACAACTGTGCTCACTTTCCTATCCTTGCTGCCACTACAGTAAAGTTCCTCAGTACACCTTAAACCACTGTTGAAAGTGAAAGACTGTTTAGCACTACATCTAACATTGTGGATGAGAAGAGGAATGGACTAATGGCAAAGAGAGCAGAAATGCTTATTTTCCTTAAGAAAAAGTTGCCAAGGTTTCTAAAGTGAGGTGTTTAAAGTTCCAGATGACTCAAGTCTCTTTTCAACAGATTCTCTTGAGCTCCAGTGATGCTGATTTGCTGCTTTAAAGTGCTTGCTGCTGCACAATTTTACTGCCCTACTTGATTTCTTTTCAGATTTAGGAAGCAGCCATATACATTGTTTTTTACTGACTTAAAAACTTTTTTTGATAGTGAAGATGCTTTTATCTGCAATTTTGCACTATTAAAAAAAAATATTTTAATTAAGGCCTTAAATGCTTGCTACTGCTGTAATCATTCTACTACTTGATATGGTCAAATGATGCAGCAAAGCTTATTGTTGTTACTTAAAAGGTTTTTGATAGTTAGGATATTTATGATATTTATTCCTTCATCTATTCAGTTTTGCACTTCAAAGATTTAATTTTAAATCCTTACACAGCTTTTGCTGCTCCAATTGTCCTGACATTTGACCTATTTAGATGATGCAGCCTAGCTTCTGTTTAATGTATTAGAAAGTTTTTTGATATTTATGAATATTTAATTTAAATGAAAATCTTACAGCTGTTAATGCTGCCTGTTTGTATGTGAAGTGCAGCATACGTAAATTTCTCCAGAATGCAATTAAATTCAATGCATTTGTGCATATTTTGCTCTTCTAATAAGTACTCTGTGGTTTATTTATTACATGGTGTAACCTTAAATAGAACATCAACAATAATACTGATAATATTAAAGTAAAAAGAGGTTGTGTATGGGAATCTGTATCGGTATCGGCAGATGTGTAATGGAATCGGATTGGAACTGAAAAAATGTGAATTGGCCCATCCCTACCCTAGACTATACAAATAAAATTAATAGCGAAAGGGATATTAAGTTGATTTTGTCCTTCACCATGCAATGCCCTCTGCACTGGACTTTTTCCATGCTAAGTAAAATGTAAAACTGTCATTTCTCCATTACTCCTCTAAAGCAGTTTCCCATGACTCTTTCATGTTATGAAAACGCTTCTAGAGGATGGTGAAAAGTATGCTGTGAATTGTATGAACAGCAGTAATTCATAGCAAGGAAACAAAACCATATATTATTTGATTGGCAAACAGCATAGATTCTCATGACTGGGCTGCTTCTGATATTCCTTTATTGACTGTCCTAAAATATAAACAGCCTTACAGAAAGAAGGCTGGTTTGTTACAAAGATGAGGCACAGAATCTTCAGCAAACAAATAACAGGCAGCCGATGGATGCCATAATAAACAAAAATTACACTTAAGGCATCAAAAAATAGGAAGTGCTAAACAAAACACAAAGGTGTATAAAACACCAGATAGTTTCCTGAAGCTATGTCATCCATAATTTCTATCTTTTAACATAGAACTTATGAACATAGCTGTCAAGTCTCCTGTTTTGGCCAGGAAACTACCGTATTTTACCCCTCTTTCCCGCCTTCCTCCCGTATTAGTATTTTCCTGTAAATCTCCCGTATTATAATATCATTTAAAAAAAATTCCTCTGCCTCTACAAACTGAACTGCCAGTAGCCTCGCGAGAACTGCCACCTGGAGTAGTCTGCAGGTCATTTACAATATTAACCAGGTCATAAATGCGGAGGTTAAAATGGCAATGTTGTGTGCCAAAAACAACGTTACTTTCACCTTCTGTGACGACGTCAACAAGGATACAAAGTCTGCAACAAATCTGTATAATAAGTCATTAGTGAATGCCAGAGAGCCACATGAGTGAACATGAGAAATTAAAAGAAAATGTGTAATGAAAATAAAATGTAAATGACAAGTGGTTATTTTAGATTTCTTGTACACCTGACTTAAAATGTAAGGGATACTGGAGCTTGGTTGGGGTGGTGGGATGGCTCGCGGTGGGTGCCGGAAAATTTCCCTTATTTTCAAATCCAAAACTTGACAGGCATGTTTATGAATGACATAGCATTAAGAAGGTTTTGGGAAACTCACCCTTGGTTTGTTATGTTTCCTCGTGGGTCAGGAAACACACAGGAACACAAAGCCACTCGAGTGGGTGAATTTCCCTTGTAATGAATTAAGACTGCTAACATCATAGAACTCAATGCATCATAACAATAAGAGTAGTCAATAATATCTTCAGCACTAATTCAACAGTAAATACCTCTGCCTTCTCAGCACACTTGAAGAATGTCTGCACTTCACTGGAACACAAGGCATTGTTGAACTCATTCTCCTTCCAGCACGCCATCAGCAGGGACATCTCCATAATGCATGTGGCCTCTGAGAGACAAAACACTCTGCTCATCTGACCACAAATGTACATACATGTACATGCACATATTTTTTTGCCATAAATGGCAAAAAAACAAACAAATAGGTACATTACCCGCGCGTGCTATAGTCCACCGACTAGGAGCATAATTATATGCAAGATTGTTTCACCCACGCTAGACGGCATAAGGCAGTCGAAAGACGGCCAGATCAATTCCACAGCCTCGGAGGCGGTCGCGCGCCGGTGATTTAGGGACCGTCAACGAATTACTGTCAGAATAATAAAATACTGATTGCTTGCAATAACTTCAATGCAATGGGACCCAGTAACTCCAAAATGAGTGCATATTCTACAACTACCTGACATACACAGGACACAGTGAACTTTACTCATTTTTAACACTTTATTGTATTTTAAAGTATCATTTTAAAAGTAAAAAGTGGGTAAATAGATTTCTTTCATAGACTCCGTATATTACGTGCTACCATTCATTTATTTCATCGTTCCGCAGTTTCAATCTAATCCTTCGTTCAAATGCTTAGTATATAAAAGACTCAGAGAAAAGATGCACTGTCAATATTACCTCCTTTTTTCATTTTACGATTCGCCACCTCATCCTTCAAGGCCAGAGGCTTGTTAGGCTTAAGGACCGGCTTTCCCACGGTCTTGCTCAGCATCAGACTGAGTTTCTGCTGCAGCGCAATCCCTTGCGAGCTCATCGGTCTTACTGGTCAGTGCAAAGCCGTCACAAGATGCTTTCTGTTTGTCAGAAACCAGGTCATGAACCATAAACGAACGATGACCTACACCGTGAGTGGCTTCACTTCCTTCCAGAAAAACACAAGAGAGTCTGACTGCAGCTGCTGTGGAGCGTGGAGTTTTACAGGAAGTAGAGTTTAACCGGAAATGGAGCGTGGAGTTTAACCGGAAGTGGAGTTTTACAGGACGTCCCTCCTTAAAATGATTAGGAGTGGAGTGTGATGTCCTCAAAATAAATACGCATCCTCATCTCGATAAAATATTCTCGGCATTCCATTTTATTTTATATTTTGGACAAGAAAACAGTGGACGTATTAAAGTAAAAACATGTATTTCTACAAAATATACAAATTAACTTCTTAGTGTATTGTAAAGGTAAGTTCCTTCGAGCTTTACAATTAAAAAAATATTTGTAATCGTAATTTAATTTTTTTTTTAATTGTGTGTTCAATCGCATTGAGACGTGATACCATGAATGTACTAATCAAATATAGCATGATATTTAACATGTTTCAGGTTTAAAAGAATATCGTACTATGCTGTCATTGTGAACAAGTGCCGATTCCTCGTGTCAGAGTTACACACTAACCGTAATTTGACACGGTATATTTTTTTGATTCTGTGTTCGATCCGCGCTTCAGTATTTCGACAAGGTAGTAAACATCGTCAGAAGTGGCTGTATTCCAGGCACTTGATTCTTTGCATAATTATTACAAAAACATTAGTAATAAAAGTTTATTTAATAGCCTCTATAGTAATTATAGTGCTACAATGGTAATATTGCTTTTGTATACACTAGCTGACTATTGGAAAAAAAATCTTTCAGATGCACCGATCTATCTGTGAGGCTGGTTCCTATCCAGCTCTAGAAGAATGCCATGTTTGTTGTAAGGGACTTTTTCCACTGCCCGCTGTGTCCTACCTTTAAACCCAGCAAAAAGACAGTGATTGAGGCCCATATGAATCTTCATGTAAAAAGGGCATTGCATTTTAAAGGTAAGTTGACTCTGCAGCTGTGTAAAAGTTTAATGGATACACATATTTCTTTAGGGATATTTAGATAAATATTATAACAAGTGTTTAAAATCAGAAGCATATTGAATTAAAACATAAGCTAATTTCCTATTAGGTTGCTGGGGCCCCATGTAGGCCAAAGGGAAGAACTGTAAACTGGTAAAGACCCCAGGGGGTCCTAAATGCTGTTAATTCCCGAGACCGCTGGGTCAAGGGCACTTGCCAATAACCTTTACAAAGATCAATTGTAGTTAAAAACTTTGCCTTCCCTAAACGTCATATCTTTCAATTTCTCTCTCATCTGTACCACATATGAAATGACATTGACAGACTCAGTCCGTCCCTGGTCCCCTTCCCAAGTTTGTCTTAAGAGGGAAAGTGGCCCTCTGACCTCATGCCCATAAAGCAACTCGAAGGGAGAAAAACCTGTAGAGGCCTGCGGTACTTCCCTGTATGCAAAAAGTAGGTAGGGGAGCCATTGGTCCCAATCTGAACCAGTGTCATTCACAAATCACCGAAGCATCTGCTTAAGAGTTTGATTAAACCGTTCAGTCAACCCATCTGTCTGAGGGTGGTAAGGTGTAGTCCTTATACTTTTAATGCCAAGTAGCTTGTACACCTGTTGAAGCAGTGTGGACATAAAATTAGTTCCTTGGTCTGTTAAAATCTCCAATGGAAAACCAACCCTTGAAAATAGTTGCACCAAGGAAAATGCCACAACCTTTGCTTTAACAGATTTTAAGGGGAAAACTTCAGGATATTTCGTTGCATAATCTGTAACCACCAACATGTACCGATTACCCATCTTGCTTTTCTCCACTGGACCAACAACATCCATACCCAGCCGCTGAAATGGGGTAGTAATAATGGGCAGAGGCTGCAGTGGAACTTTAGAGGGGCCTTTAGCTGATGTCAACTGACACTGAGGGCAACTCTTACAGAATTTAGCCACATCAGACTGCAAGCCATCAGTTTAATGCGAGCTATCGTCTTATGTTTCCCAAGATGACCAGCCCAGGGGATGGAATGACCCAAGGTAAGTACAAGGTACCGAGCCGTACTGGGGACCACCAACTGCACAACTGACCCCTGCCGTCGATACAACACACCTTTCTGCAGGAAGTACTCTTCATCCAGTCCACCAGCCTCAGTTCCTGTTTCCCACTCACTTACCCCCACAATGAAAGGAGCCAAACTTGGGTCATTTTGCTGAATTTCAACCATGTTAACTGGGATCTCATAACCCAAAGGCATGTCAGGAGCTACACCATCCGATGGATTTAAAACAGTATGGTGGAACTTCTCTTGCCTTCTCTGGCTCCGTGGCTTTCTAGACTTTCCAGGCCGTGTCTCCAAGTCAACACCAAAAAGGCAGCACACCGAGGGTTGATGAGGGCTCTTCCGTATGTTTAGCTTGGGCCCGGGTAACCACCATATTACAGTTCTGGACTGGAGATAACAGGTCAAAAAGGACAGGCATATCCCGCCCCAAGACCACTGAAAAAGGCAAACAATCGGCAACTCCAACCGTTAATAAATAGACCCCACCACGGACCTCAATATAAACATCAGCTGTAGGGTAAAGCTTCTCATCCCCATGTATACAGCAAATGGGAAGGGTCTCCAGTGAACTAATGGCATTGGTGGGTACAAACTGTCTCTGAACCAGGGTCTGGTCACTACCAGAATCAATTAAAGCTTTAAGAGGTCTGCCATTTATTTTAACAGAAATGGTTTGATAGGTACCAGACATAGATTTTAATTCTGGACATGGCACCAGACACATTTGGGTGAGCTTAGCTGGATTCCGAGGGCACCTAGGCTTGGTATGACCATCCTGTCCACACAGATAACAAACAGGTATTTTACCTTGCTTTGTTGCCAACTGACTCTCATGAGGGGATTACTCACACCCGATGTATGATTTTGATGGTACTGGGTGGGCATTTGCCTGTGGGAGTCTCTTGCAGTTTTCCACGCTGCACAACTCCATGGTTCCCCCTTCCTGCGAGCAGCTACAAACACATCAGCTAGATTGGCCGCCTCAGCAGCAGAAACTGGATCATGTTCCTTAATCCACACCTGCAACTCTGGGGACAACATCCTGAGATACTGTTCCAGAATAAGTACTTCCCCAATATCATAAACTGTCTTACCATTGGGTTGAGTCCATTTATTATACAGCTCCTTCAACCTCACATACAACTCCTTAGGGGTTTCTCCACGTCTAACCTCTGAGGAACGAAACCTCTGCCTGTAAGTCTCAGGGTTAATGTCATATTTCCTTAAAATTGCCATTTTTACACAATCATACTCGTCCAAGTCCATCTGAACATATGCACTTCTGGCCTTACCAGTTAACAGGGGGAGAAGGTGGAAGACCCAGTCTGGCCTGGGCCACCGACATGCTGCTACAATTCTTTCAAAAGAAACGAAGAAATGCTCCACATCGTCATCCTCCATTAACTTTTCCAGTTTAGGGTCACTAAAGGAGCAAGACTGCCCTGTGAAGGTACGGGCTCGCTCATGGCCTGGTGCAAGCATACCTGGGGCTTGTAGAGATGGATAAGGTACCTCAGAAACCTCCTGTGACTCTGGTCCTGTCACCAATAGCTCCGGAACAGAAGTACGAGCCTGCACCTCCAGCTGCAAAAGCTGAAATTGGTGTTGTAAAACTTTAAACCGCTGCTCCTGTCGTGCTGCTTCTTCACTCATCCGTGCTTCTCGTGCCTCTTGCTGCCCCATGAATGCCCGAAAAATTCCTGGCAGCTCTGCTAAAGACTGTTCTCTACCGTTTTCCCTGTCGGTACCTATAGGTCCTCCAGAAACTCCAGCCTCTTCGCCCTCCTTCCCATCAGTCTGCACCTCTGGCCCAGCCTGTATCTCTGTCCCAGCCCAGCTCACTTTTGATCTTTTACCTCCACGAAGCATCATTCAAAAACTATATATAAAAAACAAAAGAACAAGGAAAAAAACTGTGTCCTCTACCTGATGATCCCACCGCTGCCACCATATGTCAGGGACCGAGATGGAAGGCACGAGGAACACAGACAAATTAGGAAAAAAATCCCTTTTTTTTTTTAAATTCACAAAAAGAAAGCAATTTAACAAAGAATAAACTTGGGCCCACAAAAAAGTCAACTAATCAATAACTAAATAACAACCTAAACCAAACAAACTGACCTTCTCCTAGACAAGACACCATGAGGGCTATATACACACTGGTTGGCCAAACCACAAGACACAAAAGGGGAAACCCAACAACAAATACCACAAATACACCAGTCAGCTAATGTTTTAAACAAAACAAACAAAATCAAATTAAATTAAATTAATCCAAAAAATGTACTTAAACAACAAAAAGAAACTAAATACAAACTATTCCACCCCCCACTGCAAACAGCTAGTTGGAGTTGTCCAATTTCCTGCATTTAGCCCAGCTTCCATGTTGGTCACCTCTTTGACTGGAGCAGCAAGGAATCCTCCCCTGCACTCCACACACGGTAAATCAAAGGAAATAATTAAACTCAATAAATACTTAACACATTATTCCAGTTAACTAAACGTGCACGCCTCGTCTAGTAACTGGTTAAATGTGACAAATAAAGAAATACATAAACAAAATTAAATGTTAATTACTAGTTTAGTGCACTTAAACTAAACAAACTCCAACATAGAACAACAAATGACCATAAATAATACTTCCCTTCAAATTAGCTGTGTGGCTGTGGGGGCAGCCATCACAATCCCTTTAATGTTTTCAATAGTTATAAGTAAGAACACGGGCAAATTATGCATTTAGTAGCCATGAAACACATTAAAGTAACATAAATGTGTTTTTGTTGTACCAAGAAATCCCACTGTTTGCAACCCTCAGCAGCTATTAGTTGTAGTACAAAATGAAAGAACATGTTTTTCATATTATAAATTACTGAATGGTTAGTTAAGGAAAGGAGAGAGTAGATTACAATCAGTAATTTGAAAATTATAGAGTGCATTATTATATTATGTGGTGCATGACTGATTAGTGTGCTTCCTTGTCATAGGGCATATTAACGGGCAAGAAGAAATCAAAGTATCTGAAAAGGTTTCTGAAACCATCTTCTTACATCCTTCCTGTGTATTTCGAGGATGATGTACAGCAAAACCATATACCTTTCATATACCTTAAAGATTCCTTGACAGGACCTCTACTGTTTTGCTGATCTAGGATAAAATCAAGTTCATTCTTGATGTATTGATGCCAGAGGTAAGTGTTGAATTAATTTTGAATTTTGAATGCACTTGCTGAGCTTATTATTTGGTAGATAAATCATGAGTTTTATTCCAGTGCACCATCTATGGCCTTTCTGTACTTCATAATACTGATTTTAAGAAGGCAGAGGAAATGTTCCTTGCAGACCCTCCGTTGGATCAAAGCTATGTACTCGTATTTAATCGAGTTTTATTTTTAATTATTCTGTAAAAGTTAAGCAATTTTTCTTCTTTTCAGTGAGAAAGATGTCTTCAACAAATCAGTTGAGAAGTACATGAAAAGGAAAGGTGTTTGGTTGTAAGAATTGTACTTACTATGTTTAAATCTTTTGTTTGATCAGAAGACATCTTTAATTAGTGTGTTTCTTGTTTTTCTCTTCCTTTTTATGCTCCCCTCTCTTCCACTCTCTTTTTATTGCTCTCTTAGTACTACAATGTGTATATGTGCATTTTTATATTGTATTTATACATTTTGATTTGTTATATATCATTGTCTTAAAATAAATGTTTGTTTCAAATCTGTCATCTGAATTTTGCTTCATAACCTACATATTAGTACATATAACCTACATTATAGTATTAAAATATTAACAGATTAATGATAAATATATGTAGTGTGTGTTCATAAAGAAGGTTATATTGACGACGAAAGGGCTGACAGGCACAAACATCTACCGACACTACAGACTTCAATGACAGATCTAACGGGACTGAACTCGGACGTGGACTAAATACACAAGACAGGCTGGGATTAACTAGAAACAGGTGGGAACAATCAGGAGTCGACATGAGGAAATGAGGGGGCGTGGCACACACGAGGATCGTTCGGAGCTGATCGTGACAGAACCCCCCCCCCAAAGGCGCACACACTGGGCGCGCCCGAGGGGAGGCGATGGATGAGACGAGGGGGCAGGAGCTGAAAAACAAAAGCAGAACATGAACGGGAAACCGGGAACAAGACAGAGACACAAAACAGGCACAGGGGCAAAAGCCACGACAAAACCTGACACAGGACAGGAAATGCAGACAGGCAGACGGAGAAGTGAGACACCGGGGGAACATAAGCAGGCGGAACAAGATGGACAGGAATGAACAGAGGAGGAACAGAGGGACGAGGAGCAGACACAGGCAGGACCAAGGGAGGAGCAGCAGACAGGGGAGACCAGACAGGAGCGGATGGGGGACAAAAGGGAGCCCGAAGGAGCCCAGGCGGGCGACGGGCAGCGACCGGAGGGGCCGCAGGCGGGAGGGAGGCCGAAGCCGGAGAGAACCCCACAGGGGCCGAGGGAATGGGACGAGGGAGAGCCGGAGGGGACAAGGAGGGAGCAGGAGGGATCACCGGCAGAGGCACCGTCCGATGCCCCGCCGAAGTAGGGGGGCCCGGAGGCGGCCGACACGGAGTCGGAGTAGAGGCCGAGGACCAGCACCGAGGAACCGGGGGAGGGCCCGGAGGCGACCGTCGAGCCGACGGTGCAGGCCCTGCAGGCAGCCACCGAGCCACAGCCAGGGGCCGAATGGGTGAGCCAGGGGGTAGGGTGGGCGGGACCCGGGCCCGACACCTGTGTCCCCTTCCCTTACGGGACACTGACAGGCGGGGCCTCGAGGGCCGTCGGTCACAGTGGGGCAAGGGATAGAGAGTCATCAGGGAGGCCCCCGAGGGGTCCCACTCCAGCTCCTCTTCCTCACAGGAAAAAGGAGCTGGGTGCTGGTTGTCCGGGACCTCCTCGGGGACTGGGACTAGTGCTGGGAGGACAGGAGTCTTTTCTCCATGGTAGGTGGCCAGCGAGGATGTGGGTGGGGTGGCAGCAGGTGGTGCCGCCTCATCCACCGACGAGCAGGGCTGGACGGACGAGCGGGCTGGACAGGCAGGACGGCGGCATCAGACCACCGCCGCCCCTGATTCCCCGCACCAGCAGCTAGCCCAGTTGGAGGAGACCCTGAGGCAGCTGCTCCGTTTGCGGCCAGCGGCCCCGCCTGCTGCCGCCGCTCTGTCTGCGGCCCTGCCTGATGCCGAGGAGGTCCCGGACAACCAGCACCCAGCTCCGTTTATTTTGAGGCAAAAGTGAAAGAACTGAATTCAGGTGATTGAATTATAAAAATGACCTTTATAAACTGCATATTTTGGAACTGAATTGTGGAATTGTGCTGTTGTTTTGGGCAGCAGGGTAGAAGGTCACATATCGCCCACCTTTCAAAAGGTTTTGGAAACAATTTCTGTTTCAGGCAGGAGGTCAGAGTGACCAGGGACCATTTTCTGTCCTGCATGGATTGTCTGCGTCCATTCCGAATATATGGACCAAAGAAAAAAAAAAGCTGATTATTGATGTGCAGGGAGGACAGATTGAATATATGAATGACCTAACGATAAAATTGGGGGTGGACATTGACTATCTCATTGGAAACCCTCACACTCCATTAGGGTATTATCCGTACGTCGCTTAAATCATCCGAGATCAGATGACTCATTCGGGATAAGTCAGTTTTTCAAACGCACCTGTGTAGTAGATTAGTCTAGCTGGATCCATTCATCAGAGATGATTACGCGTGGCCGTGCTGCTTGAAAAGTCTAGAAAAGTTGATCAGCAAGTCTCTCATTGGCTTCCACAAAACGTCAAAAAAACCTTATTGGCTGTTTCATGTTATTCCTGATTAGTCCTGTGTATTTCAGTCCGCGTTCAAGTCCATTTCCCTAGGTCTGTCATTGAAGTCTCAATGTGTAGTGTTGCCGTTCGTTGCCTGTTCCATGTCCCTGCTCTCTTTGTCGATTAAATCCCATATTCCCCAATCCTATGTGTCCTTCTCCTGCTTCTCCATCCCGTGCACCGCTACAGGTCGTGACATAATGACAGATCTCGAAAAGAAGGAGCCTGACCTCACGGACGAAGAGTACCTCAACCTCACAGGCGAGGTACTGTATTGGCTCCAGCAGCCGGAGGTCCGAGAAGATACCATGGCTTGGGCTTTAGCCAGCCGGAGCAGGGACATTTTAGAAGAAATGTCCCTGCCCAGAGACACACACTTGGCAAACAACATGTGCAGAAACCTCCAGTGGCTTTGAGGAGTAGCAGCTGAAGCGATGATGCGGCATGTGGAGATCGACAGCTGACTTCCAAAGTGGTCTCCTAGCTCGCCGACCAAGGATCTTCCTAGGGGCTACCCAGCTCTCCGCTGTTTCCCCTGACAGGGGTCAGAAGATGTCCTTTCCGATCATAGACCCAGCGGTGTTCACCCCTGCTGTCTCCACCGCCACTTCACACAAACAGGTGCCCAAAGCCTACTTCACCGCTGCTCTGCTGCCACATAACACGGCACAACTGCCAGCCGCTATGCTGCCAGGTTCATGTAGTGCCTCCCACAGTTCCTGCTCTACCTGCGCCTGGGGTTTCGGCTCTGCCCGCACCTGATGTTCCAGCTCCGTCCACACCTGATGTTCCAGCTCCATCTGTCCCTGCTTCACCCACAATAGTTCCAGTCCCCCCGGTTCCTGACCCAGTTCCTGCACCACCAGCTCCCAGGCCCCCAGTTTCTGTCCCCAAGGAGGTCCTGGACTACGCGACCACCACTCCTTTCCCCAAAGAGCTTGAATGGGACCCCACGGAGGTTTCCCTGGTGGTCTTATTGGACATCTCCGGAGGAGTGACTCATCCGCCACTGCTACAGCAGAACAGATCCTGGCTGGGTCCCCACCTTTCGGTCTCCCAAAAGGGGAGAGGACATACAGTGTGCAGGGCTTGTCCTTTGAAAAATGCAGGCGCACACAAATTTGTGCACCTAAAAAGTGCTAGGTGCACAATTTTTTTTGTGCACCCTAAAAGTGCTAGGTGCACAATTTTACCCTTTTTTGTGCGCCTAAAATGTGGTTGGACTTTGGTGCAATGGGTAAAAATCCAAAAAGTCCTAGTGTTAGTTGTTTTGTCCTAGTTTTAATGCTTTAACATATTTTGTAGAAACCCATTTAAAGTGAATCACTTTTTATTGGTGAATAAAATTTGCAATTCAG